AGTATTTAAGCTAAAGACATGATATAAATTTTATTAAATAGCTCTAGAATAGCTCTTTAATATGACATAAAATTTATTTTATTAAAAAAAAAGTCTATTACCAAAAACCGGAAATGGCTATAAAATAAAAATTACTCTTTTTTTTCTTCTAAATTTTTTTTACAGATAGACATTATACTTCTTAATATTTGTTGTACAAAATCCTAGATTGGATCGAGTACTGGGCCAAAAGTTATTAGACTTTAAATATAAGTATTATGGTTTAAATCCTATATTATACCAACCAAATGTATAGTAATTTACGAAACAAATAAAAAGAAAATTCGTTTGGGATCGGGCCAGATATATTTTTTTATATATATTTCTGGCCTTGTTAGAAAAATTAGGCCCTATGCAGATCACTAGTAGACATTGTATCATATTTAGCACATAAGTTTAGCCATTTTACTTTATAAAGAAAATAATTGTAAAAATATTTATAACTTTATTTAGTAATTAATGGGAAATTAATATTCTAATAAACATATTAATTAAATAATATCGTACATTAAATATTCTAATGAATTAGAATAAAATTTTACTTTTATTCTTCCTTCCATTGATCAATGAATGATATTTTTGTGTCCCGGGAATTCGTTTGGCCATTAGAAATCTATTTTCAAGATTGATTTCCATTCTTAAATATTCTACGTTGCTAACAATATATAATTAATTCCCGGGATATTGATTCTCGCATAATTATATAGAGTTATTATATGATTTCCATGAGGATGTTGCAGGCTTGCTCTAGCCCCCAACCTCTTAGTAATTCCCCCTTAACTATCGCAAGGAGTTTTGCCATGTGCAGTTGCAAAATAATGCCATTCTGCTTTGATCCCAAAGGTTTACAAAGTTTTTTTTGTTCTTATACTGGGTAACAGCTCCATCAGAAAATAAAATATTATTGAAATCTTATCAAATCTTTCTTTCAAGAATAGAATTAATTTTATTTGATAAATGAAAGGAACAAGTATTGTGTTTGAGATAATCAGATATTATCAAGTAACTTAAATGTTAGATGATATCGCCTTCGCGGTAATAAATCATAAATGGATGGTTGCCTGATTATTAGTCCAATGGAAACCTTAAGCGTGATCTTGAACTACAAAAGCTTAGTTCTCTGCAAAATCGGATATTATTAGATATTCTCCATCCTTCAAATTCGATTTTAATGACCTAAAAAATGGAAATTGCCGAAGAAATAAATGCATGAGGAATTAAAATATTTAATTTTTCAATCAAATACACAAATTCGTTGGCAGACTTTGTTAAAGTTTCGAGTGCATTACACTCAGCTGCCATTGTTAATTTTATATAATCTATGGCATTATTATCAAACAATAAGTGTAGTCTTTCTTTAAGTTCCAAAATGCCGGGACACATTTGGCAATTCCTTAAGTAACAGCAAGGCTGGGGTGGATTGCATAGACTTTGTGCAATGTAGTGTTTATAATCTTTTAAGGGAGGAAATGGAAAGTTATGCTGGTTTGCAATTAACTTATCTAATTTACCACCAATTGTAATTAACTTAAAATTAATAGAAGGTAATGTGATAGGGATCGTAGAAGTAAAAGGTAAGATGGGATTCGTTGAATATTTTTTTAATTTTTTCCAGCAAGAATTACAAATTTTTTGATTAATTGATAAGCCAGTAATCACTTGTATCATCCACTGTAAAACACCTCTAAGATCGTAACGTACTGAATGAGATTATATTCGATATGGGTTGCAGCACTTTACAGGAATTGTAGACATTTAAAATATAATTTTTTTAAATTAATAAATAAATTTAATTTTTTAGAAAAATGGCTATGTAAAATTAATCAATAAAAATGACGGTTATTGCTGTTGGAATTAATTTTAATATATAGAATTTATGCCAAATATAATTATTTTTATTTAAATGTATTTCTGACGATCCAATAATAATTAATTATCTGGCAATGAAAAATAAACTTCATCATTCACTCACGGAGTTGCCAGGTCAAAAAATCTCGAATTTAAGAAGAAATTTAGGATGAATATAATCTTTAGGTTGGGGTGAGATTATTGAGCTCACTTTTTATTATCATAGTTGTTACCATATTACTTTTTACGAAATCTTATTATTTATTTCGTAGGTTGCCTCCAAATTAAGGCGTTTTTCGTTATATTTAAAATGATACAATACAATTTGGTAAATGTTGTTTTGAGTTTTTTAACATTTAAAAAATGCAAAATAATAAGATTTTTTAGGATTTTAGTTTTATTGCTATTATTCACATATATTGCCAACTTTTTTAAAAAAAATAATTACTCTATATTTGGTATAATTTAGGATTTAAGCCATACCACTTATATTTAAAGTGTAATAACTATTGACCCAGTACTCGTCCCAATCTAGGATTTTGTAAAAAAATTAAAAAGTATAATGTCCATCTGTAAAAAAAATTTTATAGCTATTTCCGGTTTTTGGTAATAGACTTTTTTTCAATAAAATAAATTTTTTGTAAAAAGCTATTCTAGAGCTATTTAATAAAATTTAAATCATGTGTTTAGCTTAATTATTTTTTGAGATATTTAAAATTAAATATAGTTAATTTTGGAATTTCCGCGTTTCTAAAGATGGCCATATCTCTTGAAGTAAGCTGAGTTGAGAATTAAAATTTTATATTTTTACTAGTTAGTGTATATACTACCATCATACAAATTTAAAAAGAATCGATGGGGATCGGGTTGAATCTTGAGTTGATTTGATATGGAATACAACATATCTAGATTTAAGTAGCACAATATTTGATATTCCTAACAGTGACTCAAAAGGCACGATGCCAGATATACCGAATGAATATTATATAGAAAAATCTCAAATGAATAGAAATTTATGTAGGGTTTATGCATAAGACCTCTTTTAAGCGACTCAGGTGATGCTAAATTTACTATATAATTATTCAGTTCAAACTTTGCATTATTTAATGCAGCGTTATTACAAAATTAAGCCAATAAATAGGTATAAATTTATAAATATGTAGCGTTATAATGATAAGGCTACCTGATAAAATTTGAAAAACTTATGCGATGCGCACCCGGAGTGAACCGTAACGAATCGTTAAATCATTATAACCGTTTTAAATATCAAAACCGTAACCGAACCGATATAATTATTTTTTGAAGGAGTAAAAAAAAACCTTTATTAAAAAAGGTTAAACCGGTTCAGTTTTTATATTTTATGAATTAAAAAAAATTAGGATATCCAGAATTATATAAACTTGCTCTTATAGTACTGGCGGTTCCAGCAACACAAGTTACTGTAGAAAGGGCCTTTTCGAGGCTAAAATTTGTGTTATCGTCACAAGAAACAAATATGAATCCATTTATATTAGAAAATATATTACTTATAATATATTTAAAAATGAGTTATTTTGAATCTTATATTTTTTTTTATATATAATTCATAGATGCTTATAATAAAAATAAATTAGATGGTGTTGCTTCAATAAAAAAAAAAAATTTCTAACCGAAATGAACCTTTATAATTAGCTGAACCGAATAGAACCTTTGTAAAATTTTTCTTAAGAACCGTAACCTTTTACATACTGAACCGTCATATATAATGGTTCGGGTCCCTGGCGATGCGAAGCTAAAAAATATAAGACACAAACATATAAATAATCACGAATTCGATCAAAGGGTATATGATTTTCCTTAAATATTATATATAATTATCTGTATTTTGGCTTTATCTTAAATTATTTTAAAACTGAATCAGCTGTAATAAAGCAACGCTTGGAGATAACACATTTCCTATAAATTCAGCGTTGGTGATGAATTACGAATCGCTTGAGTGATATCAGGTGCGATTACTATACAAGGCCTAATGGTGATTTATAATATAAAACGAAATTTCTAATCCATAAGTTTCGGTTATTTTCATATTATCTTAATCCTAATCGAATATAATAATTAAAACTATTAATATGATTTCCTATACCATCATAATATTTCTTATAATACACATAAAATAAAAATGCATTATTTAAAAAAAAACATTATTTAAGATGTAGGACATGATATTAACGACAGAGAAATGGCATATTAAGATAGAGAATCTAGAACCTCATAGAAGGTGTCTAAAAAATGGCGCGTTTTGTGTTATGAACAAAGTACCATATTGTGGTATCCTATGTATACGTAATAAAAAAGGTTGCATGCGCCTGCCAATCTCAACAAGACTACCTAGATGTGAAATAATCATATTATTTAAATGGCTCTCTTATTTACTTCTATTTGATTTGTTAGTATAAAACGAACTAAATTGAGAAATTACCTAATTTTTTTATAGAAAAAAATATAGTCTTTTGATGAAAATATATAAACTCAGAGACCTACAGACCCGGCCCTATACCCGGTCTGGGTACACGGACCAAATCGTATTTTAATATTACCTGAATTTTTTTTTTAAATACTCGGGCCGGGCCGTGTATTTTTAAACCAAGTATTTTAAATCGCCACTATTAGCATAAATAATTAAAAATATATATAATATTTTTTTTTTATTAAATCCATTTTTTAATAACATTTTTATTAGAAAGTTTATATATATATCGCTATGTTCAAGTATTGCTGTACATTTTAATAAAATTTATTTTTTAAAATAGGAATTACCAGGTGAACTTGAAATTAATTTGGTAAGGACAATTTTAGAAAAAAATGGTGATTTTATGTATAGGAATATATTAATGAATCTATCTACAAATCTAAAAAAAACTTTGAGTTAAGTTTTCTGGAAAACTTATAATTTTTTACATATTAAATTTGTCTATTTATTATAATTTAAACTCCTATCTTTTACCGTTTTTGAAGGTAGATCTAAAATGGAAGAATACCTTTAATACAAATTGTATTATTTGGGTTTTTTTAATAAATATATAAGACTAAAGGGATTTTAAAAAACGCAATAAATTTTTAATATATTTGTAATTCTGTAATCATTTTATTTACCACAATAAAGCATGCAAATAGTTCCAATCAAAATAAATATTATAATAAAAAACAAATTAAATGATAGCAGTTTTGGATAAGGTCTTCAGATCGTTAATACATTTGTTCATCGCTTCTTTTTCCTAAAATAATATTAACAATATAAATTTAATTTAATGGGAGTAATATTGGAAATGGCAGAGTGCCATCTAAAATTTAAGATAATTATCCTATTCCATTTGCTTAAATAAAAAAATATACCAATTCAGTGAAAATAGTGTATCTTCTTCAAAAAATTCTTTATTTAATTTGTATCAAAATTCTAATGAATGGCCCTAAGATCTTATTATAAGGTCTTTTTTAAGATCACTTTAAAGGCAAAGGAGCTGCCAAATATTTATAATAATTTGTGTATATTTAAGTTTATTACACACAATTTTTAAAATGTTACACACAATTCGGACTCTGAATTTTATTTTATTAATATCCATAAAAATAAATATATAAAAGGCTAAAAAAAAGATGATTATTATTTTTTTGTTTCCGCCGTTTTTAAATTATTATAAGTTTATTTTATTTGTGTGAATTATATTTGGATATTAATAAAATAAAATAAAGAGTCCGAATATTAAAAATTGTGTGTAATAAAACTTAAAAACGATCTCCGATTCGATTAGTAGCAGTAACAAATACTAGACCAATAGCTGAGATAGTGGGTCAGAGGGCGGAGATGCTGCGACAAATTGGGGAATTAGCAGAAACGACCTCGCCATCTATAGTGGGATCGGGAGCGGTGCAATGGCCTCTTATAGACATCTCTGTGGGAACATCGAACGGGAATCAACAGGGGGAGACTATTATAGTAAACGTAGGGGCCAGAGAGGCGCAGGAAACAGACCAGGACTCAGGGGAGATATACAGAGAACCGGTGGGGGTACCAGAGTTGGGAGGAAGCCAGGAATGGGACAATATGTTAGATTTCCTCATGACGGACAAAGAATTAGAAGAAATTCTAGGCGATAGTGAGGATGGAGGATTTAGCGTATCCTTATGGGGGGCGTGTTATGGATGTTAAGATTTTATTTGATTGTCAGATCAAAAATAATATTGGCTTTGGTCAAGTCAATTGGAATTAATTTTGTTAATTTAATAAATCGGCATCATAGTAAAAGAAAGTATATTTTTTTTATTATTTGTTTTTTTTTTATTTTAGGAAAAAATTTATTATTAATAAATGAATATTAATTTTTATAGAAAAAATAAATATATATAAAAGACTAAAAATGGTAAATTATGATTATTATTTTTTTTGTTTCCGCGGTTTATAAATTATTAAACATTAGTTTATTTTATTTGTGTGAATTATATTTGGAAATTAATAAAATAAAATTAAAAGTCCGAATTGTGTGTAACATTTTAAAAATTGTGTGTAATAAACCTAAAAAATTATATAATAAAATTTCGAATAAAATATAAATCCTTTAAACATGATTTTTTTTTAAAAAAATAAAAATAATACTTGGAAAAAAAAATGGCATCCAAAAAATCATGTCCATTTAATCTATTACTATTTTACTAGGAATCACGTGACATTTTTTTAGAAAGGCATATTAATTTTATTTATGATGGATTAGAAAAAAAATAGGAAATTTGTTTAAATTTTGACATTTCAATAACAGCTGTTTTGTAAAACAGTTGTTTCTAGAAAAAACGGTAGATTCAACTAGAGGTAGAATTTTAGTCGGACAGTTTGGCTCGATTACGTAGAGCAAGTAACAGGATTTTTTTTTAAACGGACTGTTCAGATAATTTTAAAAACTTGTTTAGATTTTGAAATTCAACGATATAATTTGTTTTTGACCCACAGGCAGGGATGTGAACCCGGACCTGGAACCCTCGTATCTTGGCCGAACCCGAACCCTTTTAAAAAGTGGAGGGTTCAAGGGTTCAGGGTAAAAATTTTAACGGATAAATTTTTTTTTTAAAATAATGTAAAAATATTATTTTTAAAAAATAATACAAAATTTTTATAATTTTATTAATTTTTTTCGTGGAATCATTTATTTTATATTCGCGCTTTTCTCTTGATTTTCTTCCTGGACTTCATTTCATTTTATTTAGAGATTGATACCATAAATTATTTTCTAGTGTAAGTAATAATATTTTATTATGTAAATTTATTAATATGCTTTTTGCCTAAAAAAAAGCATTCATATTCAAATGTCTGAGGAGAATTTGATGAATGCTTTAGTTGAGCTTGTTACAATAAATGGAAGACCTTTCAATATTCTTGAGGATTCCGGTTTAAAAAAAATTATTGATCCTATTAGTAAGGCAATTGGAACATCAATTAACCGTTTTAAAATTAAGGGCTTAGTGGTTGATGAATCGAAAAAAATGCAAGCAAAAATTATAAAAGAAACAAAAAACAAATTAATTTCATTAAAAATAGATTCCGCCCAAAGATTAGGGAGAAATATTTTAGGAATAAATATACAATATATTAAAGGAAATTATATAACCTTAAGAAATTTAGCAATGAAGGAGAAAGTTCAACTTCTGAAAATATAAAAAGAATGATAATAGAAACTTTAAATAAATTCCATATTCCTTTAAGAAACGTTTATACCATTACTACGGATAATGGTGCTAATCTAGTCAAATCTATTAAATTATTAAATGAATGTTCATTGGACGAAATGGATGATATAGATATAAATAATGATGATAATAATTTTGAGGACATAAGTGAATTTGACATACCGGAGATAATAAAAGATTTTTCCACGAAGATATACTGTATCAGATGTGCAGCCCACACACTACAATTAGCTATTAATGATTCCCTCAAAAATAATATCTTTAAAACTATAATTGACAAAGCAAGGGATGTTGCAAAATATTTAAGAACTCCTACAATTGTACGAATATTAAAATCCATGAAAAGGCAAATGGCAATATTAGATTGCACAACCCGTTGGTCCTCTATCTGTATGATGCTAGAGCGATTAATAAGTTTAAAAGATTTCTGTGATGATTTTATTATAGGATCATGTGAAATCATTTTGTCAGAGGATGATTGGAATCAAATCAAAGACCTTACTAGGGTGTTGGTTCCTTTGAAAATTACTACATTACGATTGCAGTCAGAACAGTTGTGTTTATCCGATTTTTATGGCATATGGGTGAGATGTCGATTAGAATTAGAAAAATTTACAAGTTCCTTTTCATACGAAATATTAGAAAACATGAAAATACGAGAGCAACAATATTTGAAAAATAGTGTTGTGTATGCCTCAATATATTTAGATCCTCGATATCAAGTTCTATTAAGTATTGAGCAAAAGCAAATGGCAATAGACCATCTCGACGATTTATGGCATAACCATAACTCTATTATTAACAATATATTGGAGGCTTCAACATCTAATGGTTGTAGCGATAGTAATGATGATAGTAATATTGACGATCTCGAAATTTTATTATTAGATAGAGAAAAAAAAATAAAATTATCATCAGGATCAGATAGAAAGGTGAAAAAAATATCGATTGTATCTTTAATTGAAAAATTCTCAGAAGTTAAGAGAAATAATAGGGATAAAAATATTTTAACATTCTGGGAGGAAAATTCTCTAATATATCCTGAATTGTATACCTTGTCTAGATTCGTCATGGCTGTACCGGCGACACAGGTACAATAATTTATATATTATAAAGATAACTATCTATTTTAGGTCAGCGTAGAACGTGGATTTTCTTCTTTGAAATACATATTGTCTAATTTACGTGGAAATCTCAAGGATGATATTTTAGAAGATATTATGATCGTTCGATTGAATAAAATATTTAAAATTTAAATTATTTCATTTTGAATTATGAATGTGTACATATATTGAAGTATAATAAAAATGAATGAAAAAAAAGTCTTATTTTGAGTCATTATTTTTATGTTCCCTGGACCCGGACCCTGGACCCGGGTCCTTTAAAAATTTATTACAGGACCCGAACCCGGACCCTTTTTTTTTGTTGAAGGGTTCACATCCCTGCCCACAGGATCTATGGGTACCCACAGATGAAACCCCAGCTGATGAACCTTCCAGGTCTTATTGGAGACAGAGCACCATTCACCTTTATTAAAGAACAGGAAAGAGCCACTGTCCCCTTCAAGGAACTTATTCTATTGAAATAATCTAAACTCCCATACCAATCAAATTCACCTATCCCTGATTTGTGTACTTAAGGCGAGTTGTCCTAAACAAATTTTAAAAAAACTTAAGATTGCATAACTTTCGTGAGTTTTAAGAGATACGAAACATGTCCCAATTCTTTTATTAAATTTTCGAAAGTATAGTTAAATTCTTCATATAAAATATTCAAAATGTTTTGATGAAATACACAGATTACAAAATTTTAATGAGAAAATTATTACATTTTCACAATTCGTAAAACTTTTAAAAATCACAAAACATTAGCGAATTTGAAAAAAAAAAACATTTAGGCCAATATTTTAAATTTACATTAAAAATGGATCATATTTTTTTCTTCGTTGAATTTTCTAGATTTCATTATATTTAGGAAAATAGTCTAAAAAAAGAAGTAATAATTGGATTTTATTTTTATTTAAATTCCTATTTGTTATTATAAAATATATTTTAGTTATTTATCATAAATAAAATTTGATATCATACCAATTGAGGGGTAATACTAGCGTACACGTGTCTAATAATCCAGTCAATCATATTTTGATGTTCGAAACTCCTTTTAGTGTTTATTATCTCGGTTTTGTAATCCTTAACAATGGGTACGAAATTTATAAATTAAAGATTAATAAATATGTCCTAAATAAAACTTACATTCCTTCCGGATGTTAAAAATTAAACTAGAATTATTTTTTTTAACAAACGATTTTTTATAAAAAAAAAATATGAGATATTTTTCATTATGGTGTGATAAAAATATTGGTACGAAATAAGTTTCGTTCCTTATCAAAAGTAAGGCCGCATTTATAGTAAACGCTGTTCAAGCGTTGCGTTATTACAAAAATACAATAATTGGGTATTAAATTTATAAATATGGAGCGTTATAGTGCGCACAAATTAAGCGTTTCAAACGTAACTAATGCATTTCGAATGCATTCGTTTAAATTGAGCACTTTTACTTTTTTCAATCGCGCCAATTTTAAAAAACGCAATCTGGTTTGCTTTTTTTATAACTTTTTTTTATAAAAGTAACATTTTGATACGATAAAATATGGATATTCCTTCTAAAATGTAAGAAACATGATATATTTTTAAATATTAATATATAAATTTATATTTTAAAAATGAAATTCAATATAATCTTAATTAATAATATAAATATAGAGCATGGGATGACAATATAACCAAAAAATTTCTTAGATGTTTTAGAAATGGAAGAGATGATCTGTAACCAACAACATCCAGATCATAAAAAGACCATGCTGGTGATGGAGAATTTAACTAAAATCGGGTCTAGGTATAAATAATAAATATCAATATGTATGCCTACATTTATTTAAGGTTAGAAGAAGATTTTCCTGAATATGATACGTCATGTCTCTGTTTAAAGAAGAAGATAAAGAATTATAAAGACCAGCTATAAAATTAAGCTGGCAAAAAAAAGTGGGTCAGAAGCTTCCAAGTCTTCATATAAATGGTTGGAGCATATTAAATTTATGGAGCCAACCATTGCTGACATGCCAACAACCAGTAATTTTGATATTAGTGAGAGTATCAAAAAGATATCATCTAGTCAACAATTGGAAGATAGGTTGTTGGAGCTATTAGATAAGAAACCTTCTTTAAATAGGTAAAATTTATTATTATCTTTAAAAGCTTATATTTTATCTAGGTTGTATCTACAAGCATTGGAAGCAGATCTTGATGCTCTAGATATACATAGGCAGTATCTTTTTAAATCTGAGGTTATGAAATTCATGTATTCCTTACATACAAATTATTTAAAACCATTGGAACCAATGGTGGACAATATTGAAACTCCACTTGATATTTTTAATAGTATTATAGATTGAATTATATTTGTATATATATATATATACATTCTTTGTATATATATATATATTTTTATAAATATTATGATATTATTTGTATATATTTATTTTTATAAATATTATGATATTATTTTTAAAATAAATATTCATAAAGTTTTTATTTATTAAAATAGTGTCCTAATTATTAATAAAGATTGAAAAATTAGAATTAAATTCTATTTTATATTAATACAATCAATTTCATATTTGATATAATTAACAATCACATATATATAAATAATTAAGAGTTTAAAAAATTTTAAAATTTGTCTCTTAAAATTTCTTATATAATTGTTGATGAATAGTTTTGTCTGTCTCTGCTAATAGAGAATGGTTTAGTGGTCAGATTATGAAATGTATCTACTATATATATAATGAAAAATAGATTTATTAAAATATATATTAATAAATAACTCATTAAATATTCATTTTTTTATTAAATTTTTTGTCAAATAAATTCTGTGATTTAAGATTTAAAAATTTAAACACATTTTTTATTATGTAAATATATTTATGAGGTAATATTCTAAATAATAACAATCAATTTCATATTTGATATAATTAACAATGATATATGAAAAAATAATTAAGAGTTTCAAAAATTTTTAAATTTGCTCTTAAAATTCTAGATTCAATTTGAAGAATTGTTTTGTCTGTCTTTGGTGGTCAGATTATTATTGTATCTTTTAAATGTAATGAAAATAAAATACTACAATATTTGTTGTACCTATGTCATCAACTTCAGAACCTATTCCTTGATTGCTTATTATTATATTATGCACAAGGCATAAAGTCTCTATATGCTCCAAACTAACTTCTATAGGTTTGCTGAGAATTTCAAATTATTTTACAATGCCCCCAAAGCTATGTTCAACACTAACCCGAGCATGTGATAATCTCATATTATATTCTCTTTCCTCTATAGATAGACCTTTTTTAGGATAGGGTTTCATCAAATAATGTGACAGTGGAAAAGCGTCGTCTGCTACCATTACATAAGGCATATTTTCACTAAGGCCAGGAAAAGGTTTGGCAGGTGGTAGATCAAGAGTCTGGTTAACAATTTCTGCAATTTTTTTTATTGATACTCTCACTAGTATCAAAATTACTGGTTGTTGGCCTGTCAGCAATGTTGGCTCCATAAATTTAATATGCTCCAACCAATTATATGAAGACTTGGAAGCTTCTGACCCACTTTTTTCTTTATAATTCTTTATCTTCTTCTTAAAACAGAGACATGACGTATCATAATCAGGAAAATCTTCTTCTAACCTTAAATAAATGTAGGCATACATATTGATATTTATTATTAATACCTAGACCCGATTTTAGTTAAATTCTCCATCACCAGCATGGTCTTTTTATGATCTGGAGGTTGTTGGTTCCAGATCATCTCTTCCATTTCTAAATAGCTAAGAAATTTTTTGGTTATATTGTCATCCCATGCTCTATATTTATATTATTAATTAAGATTATATTGAATTTCATTTTTAAAATATAAATTTATATATTAATATTTAAAAATATATCATATTTCTTACATTTTAGAAGGAATATCCATATTTTATCGTATCAAAATGTTAGTTTTATAAAAAAAAAGTTATAAAAAAAGCAAACCAGATTGCGTTTTTTAAAATTGGCGCGATTGAAAAAAGTAAAAGCTCAATTTAAACGAATGCATTCGAAATGCATTAGTTACGTTTGCAACGCAACGTTTGAAACGCTCAATTTGTGCGCACTATAACCATCTCTCTTCTTATTATTCTGATCTAGGCAACCCGGCGCCTTGCATAATTCCCTTGAGTTTTTTAAAAGACGGATGGTGAAAACTTGTGCCATTTTGAGCAATTCTTCAGAAATATTTATATATTTGAAATCACCATTCAATTAGCAATTTAATGATGTGCATATTCGATATATTATATTTAGTTTCGGGAAAAAAAGTTGATAAAATCACATATCTAATTTCTGATACAAAAAAAACAAAATTGATACCAAATTAATGCTCAAATATTTATTTAAAAAAAATAAAAGAAAGGAATGAAGAAAAAAGTAAAAGCTCAATTTAAACGAATGCATTCGAAATGCATTAGTTACGTTTGCAACGCAACGTTTGAAACGCTCAATTTGTGCGCACTATAACCATCTCTCTTCTTATTATTCTGATCTAGGCAACCCGGCGCCTTGCATAATTCCCTTGAGTTTTTTAAAAGACGGATGGTGAAAACTTGTGCCATTTTGAGCAATTCTTCAGAAATATTTATATATTTGAAATCACCATTCAATTAGCAATTTAATGATGTGCATATTCGATATATTATATTTAGTTTCGGGAAAAAAAGTTGATAAAATCACATATCTAATTTCTGATACAAAAAAAACAAAATTGATACCAAATTAATGCTCAAATATTTATTTAAAAAAAATAAAAGAAAGGAATGAAAGTTTATGAATTTTTCCCAAAAAAAAATATAATATATCGATATACACGTCATTAAAATGCTAATTAAATGGTATATAAATATTTCTCATTTTTGCTGGAAAAAAAATTAATACCAAATTAGTGGTCACATGGTACAAGTTTTTTTTTTTACATACAATACCATTTTTTTTAATAATAAAAAATAAAAGTTTTATACGATAATGTTTAAAAATACAACCACGTATAAATTATGTGATCTTTGTCTTCATATTAGGTGGTGCACTATGTCTAAATTTGACAAGTTTCATTTGGTTGCAAAAAAAAGCCATTTAAATAAAAGCACTCTCTCCTCATATTTGAAACTAAAAATCATGTTTATATAAGGGCATATTACAAATTAAAATCAATTAGATAAAAATAAATGATTAAGCTATATTTAAAAAAAAATTAGCATTAAAACCTACAATTTATATCTATTGAATGAGCCTTCAAATTACTTTGCTTCATAAATTACATGGAAATATGCCTGCTATATTTATATTAGGAATTTTATTTTGTTGATATGTCAAAGATTATGAGTATTTTGAATAAATAAATCTGTAATTGTATAAATATTTATTGAATAAAATTTTGGCTGATATTATAAAATGCAAATAGCTTATATACATGAACTCATAGATAATATAGATAGAAATTCTAATGATAAATCAAATGTCAAGTTCATATGTTTCTAAATTTTAAATTCATATTCTAATTTTCGTTTAAAAAATGTATAATCAAGGTATAAAAACGGATTAGACTTATATATTTCTATGTATCTTTATTTTAAATGGCGACCAGCTGATTTCAAATCTGGACAACTTCTAAAACATTACATTATCAGTTTGACACCATATTAATGTTTATGGATACAAAAGAAAAAATGAAAGAAATATAATATAAATAATTAAATATATTTAAAAAAGCTGCTTTATATGTGGAAAGAATGGAAGGGTTGTAAAAATATTATTTTCAAAGTGAAAGAAAGGATTGATATAAAATCTATGATTAAACTAACCAATCTTTTTTTGATAGCATCATGAATAGCTACAAGCCTTTCCCGGTAATTCCTTTCTAATTGTAGAGCAACATTATCCTAAAAAGAAATCATTGAAAAGTTATTAAAATCAAAAAAAAAATTATTTATCAGTATTATAAATGAATGATGGTTTATTAAAAAGATGTATTGGATCTACTATATCTGTACTAGTACCAATCTAATATCCATATCTCAAAAAAAATTATCATTAGTCATGTTGATACTTAAAATCTATTTTAATTAAAGAAAATATTGTTCAAGTAAATCAATGGCAAAAGTAAGATTAATTTATTATCTATTTAATATAGCCATTAGAGTATATTATCTGGTAATGGAGAAAAAAATCGCCAAAAAAAACTCCTAATACTGCAAAAAAATTGCTCATAAAAAGTTGTATTTCTATTATATAAAAATGATAGCTATTTATCTATACAATTGATTGAACTTGCAAATACAAATATAATGTATTTATAGGAATGGATTAAGTATTTTTTTCACAGAAGAGCTGAATTTCAACCTCATCCTGTTCTGACTCTAATATCCCATACATCTCTAATTTGTAATTTTATTTTTAAATTAATTACTCTTTGAAATTGGGCTATATATTTAGGGGCTTCTGATTCTCTCTGCTTGATTTTCTCAGATTCTATATTGTTTTCATAAAGCTGAATGTGTTTCTGATGTAAATCTCTAACATCTTTAATGTTATTCTGTATAGATATTACAATTATAGTTTATAATTTTATCAATGAAAAGAAAAAACTTCATTGGCCTATTCTTCATCAAAAATAAATAAATACAAATATTTTTACTTAAATAATAATTAATTAGTTATTATAATATATATTAAATAATATAACTTTATTGGGCAAAAATTTTCAGGAAAAAAATACATTTATAAAAAGAAACAAACTAATAATCTGCCAAAGGACTACAAAAGATAGGCCTACTCCCTATGAGGGTGATAACACTGAAATTCTTTCCCTTTAGGAAAATCTTCACCATACCTATGATTTATATTTTAACTCTTAAAGTAAAGATTTTATATTGTTCAAATTAAGATATTATTATAGATTATATAATATTTTAACAAATTTTATTTTAATTATATGATAAATTATACAATAATTAAAATAAATTACCTCAACTTTATTGAATAAATAATTTTTGACTTTTTCTCCATACATTTTAAGTAAGAAAATCTGAATCCCTATAAATACTATACCACTACAAAATTCTGTTTCCACTACCCAAATTTCTTTTTGTAATAAAGTTGTCACCAATCCACCAAAAAATAAATATGACCCTTTTGATAAAATACCATTATATAGACTTTTAAAATTATAATTAATTTATCATGACTAAAATAGATCTGATATTTTAAAATCAATTCTTAGATATGATAATAATCCTATTTAAAAAAATTTAATATAGAGATTTTAAATAAATTAGATACATAAACATAAATTCTCTTAATTTTATAAGATTATGATAATTATCCACAGATATTATCTATGTTAAAGAACAAATTTTCTACTGAGCTTTATACAAATATATATTTTTTAAATTAATTAAAAAATACCAGTAACGCCAGTCTTCATGTAAAAAAAATCAAACCATGAACTAGGTAATATACCAAATCGTACTTTTGGTGGGTACATATTTTGTTCTAATCTTGGATAGTTTTTTATATCTCTTTCAGGGTTCACTTTAGTCTTTGATGGATAATTATCTGATAGATTCAAAATTTTATTTGTAGAAGTAAGAAATGGGGATGATATTACATGTCTAAATTGAAGGATATAAAAAACCTATAAAATATTTTATCAACTTGTATGTTATTTGCAATATTCTCCTATTATAAGGATCTAATTTTAAAATAATAACTATATATAAAATAGGTCTAATTACATATTTTAGATAACATATTGAAGAGGTATACACAGCGTTTTGCTAAAAATAAGGCGATGAACTATAATTCTACTGAAGATTGATTACTCTTGACAATTTGAAATGTACGAATGTCAACTATGATTATTTCTATTTTAATCCATTTTTATAAAGAGATAATCTTTTATATTTAACTAGAAGAGTAAGATTCCTAAATTGTTTTTCTATATATATATCAATACATATAAATATATAATAACTGCTCTACTCAGCAAATTTAGGCCTATTACACCATTAAGTAATAATAGATGTAAAGTGATTAAAATAAAATATAATTTATGTTTATCAAAAATTTTCATATGTCAAGTATTTTAAAACTATTTAAATTAAATATGGATATTTTAAAATAATTTATATCTTAGATACAAGATAAAATAAATATTTTCCAAAATTTAAAATAAATATCCGCTTTATTACCCAATCCTAAACCTTAAGAACTGTGGTCTCAGCACGGTTTGCAGAGAACATGTTTTAAAGAATAAAGCTTTAACTACTTATATCTAAATTAGGAAAACTTTTCCAAAGGACACGTTTTAACAGAAAATAAAATTGCTAATTGTTGTGTTTTCAAACGATAACTTGTTTATCATTTATATTTTTCTATTTGTTTATACCATACTCGTATATTACCATTTTTTTTTGTTGAATTATACCACCCTGTTTTGATTTCGTCCTCAAAATTGGTTCTAGCCAGTTTTCAAGATGGACATGGATGGAAATTAATATTTATTTATTATCATTTAATTTAAAAAAATGGGGACTGTATAAGACCTCGGAAAAATAAATTGTATTGGTTAAATTTTTGATTTTAGTTTTTATTTTTATGTCCGATTATATGATATAATAAATTTTTACTTTTGATTAACTATTAAAATAAATTCGTGTTACATTAATTTCTCAACTTCACTAATGGGGGGACCCGTCTGTCCAACTTCAACATTAATCAATAGCGAAATAATATTTAGAACATTTTTTAAATGCTAAAATTTCTTCATTGATAAATAAAATCATCAACCTGGTTTCAAAATTTTGAAAATTTAAGTTCAATTGTTCAATTTTTATTATCTCTATATTACGAAGGCATTCCATATGTTATTATATTTATCTGCAAATATCATCATGACTTATCCTAACATTTGCCAAGTATGTCTTAAGGTTTGAAACCCTCTAATTAAAATCTATCTTCAATAAATATGATATAAATAATAGTACAATATTTCAATTTTGGAAAACATATCTTGCTTCTATCTCTATATTAGAAATGTAACCTTTTTAATGAATGCTTCTAATTTTTTTGAATTCCTTAATTTTCTAAGCATTTTACACTCCATCATATATCAAAGCACTGCCGATAGGCTCAGCTAAGTTAATAAATAAAAAAATATATTGATAACGTTTCTGGGACCACCCAATTGGGAAAGGAAACAATAAAAAATATGTAATAATGATCTTTAGAGAATTAATAATTACATAATTAGTTTTTATGTATATGTTCTTAAATATTAATAATATTTTAGGTTTAAAACTAATTATGTATTTTAACTAAATTAATTTCACTAAATATATCTATATTGCCAAGTTTTAGGTTATACATCACTGATTATAATAAAAACATTCGATTGGAATAGATAGTTAAATTGGTCAAGGTTTAACTTTTCTACCAAAATATAATTCACGCATTTAAAACATATGTTAGCAAATTTCTCAAAAGAAAGCTTAGAAAATAGGCAACTCCTAATACAAAACAAGTTACTTGAGATTTCTAATAAGTTTGATCATGAAAAGGAAAAGTATTTATCTATCATTTATGACATTGATCTGGAGGTGCAGAAAGCTGAAATTGATAAAAATCATCATGTAATAATGCCTAATAAAATTACAAATGTTTCTGATACCATTGAAACCGAAAAAATCTACCTTTCTCAATTAAACAATCAACATATTATTTCTGATAGTGTTTACAAGATTTTATCTACAGCTGTGATATCAAGTATATCCATTACAAATACTAATTCAATATCTAAGCTAGATCATATTAACAACAATATAGTAAATCAGCCATATATAAGTTTAGATATTATGAAACCAGACTTACAAATAACTCAAAATCTCTCAGCCAATATCAATATCCCTTATTTAAATAATTATAACAACTCAAAGGATCCTATTAATACAGATATTTTTACAACCCTTAATTCAAATCAAAATTTTATAATTGATAATGCAACATCTAATGCGATAAATTATATTAATGGTAATATTCCCACATCACACAAAGAACAAACTTATGATTTCAATTTTGCTTTAATGAATAAGGTCAATAACATTAATTCACAACATAATGATATTTTTATTAATATTAATTCCAATCAAAATTTTATAATTGATGATAAAACAATTAATAATTCCCTAAACTATAGTAATAATAATGTTACCATGTCATTCGAGGAAAAAATTAATGATTCTAATAATGTGATGGAAACTATTTCTAACTTTAAGGCCAAACAAAGTGATGCTTTCAAAAACTTTTCATTTAAGCCTAAACCTTCTATTAATTTAGATTCATCCAAACAAAGTGATGCTTTCAAAAACTTTTCATTTAAGTCTAAACCTTCTATTAATTTAGATTCAATAGATGAATCAAAATATAGACTTGATTCATATGATATTGAATATGATTACAAAATTAGTATGAATAGATATAATTATATAACAGAAACTATAGTCAAGCCTATCAATGATAGTCAAATTGAAGCGGTCAAAAAATATAGAGTGGATATGAAGAGAATAATCAATATGATCATAAATACCCTGTCTGCTCATAGTGCTCATCACCTGATAGACAAGTATCACAAACTAAAAACCATTTTGACGGGGAATGAATTAGAATTTTTAAACAAAAAATATAAACCTTTAGCATTGACTTTGTATATTGACAGCCTTGAAAATTCTGGGCAAAAATTTAATATAAAAAACTCTTCCAAACCAAATGATAAGCATGCAGAAGCCAAAGAAAAAATCCTGCGTTATTTAGAAGACTGTGTATCCACGGCTATCATAAATCAAGGTATAAAACAAGTGGAATCCAATCTAAAATCGGCATTCATAATTTCTCCTTTGGCAAATGCTTTGTGCACTTACTTTCCTCATTTTCACTTATCCCTCTCTGCCAATTTTTATCTTTCACTCATGCCACTTATCTCAGGAATATTAATTAAAAATACCAATCCAGTCAATTATGATATAGCCCTCCATTTTAACGAAGAAAAAATGAGGCATTTGAGAGGAACTTTTCAACTCTACCTAGCTTTATGTATCACACCTATACCAACTCCATTATCCAGTTCCAGAAGCTTTAAGGATAAAGATTCTCATAATATTCAATGCTTTTATAATATAGGAAGATTATGGTATCTTATAGCCAAATCCCTTAATAGTGATTACAATACTTGTCAAACCGATGTTAACTCACAAAATTCTCTAACTCTTCATATTCGTTCAAGGCTTATAATATTAGATTGCATCACTATTTGTGGGTCGGTCTTACTTACAGCATATAAAAGGCAATACAATAAATTATTAAATCTTGCTCATCGTTTGAAACCTTTTGCTGACACCGAGACTACCCACAATCAAACCTACAACTTTGATATGTCAGCCGTCAATTATGCGGCCATGTTGGATTCGAAAATAAGTGGGCAATCTTTACGGAACCCCAAAGATGAAGGATTGGTATTAGGGGAAAATTTTTGGGGCTAAAAGATTTTAAACCTATATAAAATTAAAATTTGTAAAGGTTATTTTATTTTAAAAGAAGTTGTTTAAATTGTATTGTTTGTAATTATAATCACGATGATAGATATAGAATAAATTATTTATTATATACGCATGTACTTGGAAATTTGTTATTTATCGTTGAAACTTCAAAACTTTAACGAATTCATTATGTTAAATATTTTAAAACTTACGAAAAATTTTCGGAAAATTATTTTAGATAGGTTTTTATTTTGAAAGATAAAAAAAGAAACATTTATATTCATTAAAATGTATCGAACATTGTTTAAATTTTTTTCTTCAAGTTTTGGACATAGCACAATTAATTATTGAACTGGAGGTTTGCAAAATATCTTGAATGGTATAACTACACCCGGAAATTTTTTAAAATAATTTAGTCTTTATTGCAATGTTCAATAAAAATTTTCTTTAGATCAAAAATATAATACAGATGCAGCGATATAACTTTTTTTTGTCTATACCAATACAGCCGGGTATCTGACAGATGGATACTACCTGGCACCGATATTTTTGGGTACCTTGTGAATGTTATTGATTTTTTTATGTGTTTTATCAAACTATTAAGTAGCGTTATAATTTTATCTCTATATTCAGATACTTAGATAAATGCCTGTGGCCTAGTCGGTTCAAGTATCACGATTCTATATTTCTGTGGGCATATTTTTTTTCTAAAGCCTGGTTCCGTCCTTTGGGGTAGTATTGTTAAAAGGCTTGATTTAGGTCGATTTTTAAACATGGCCCAATTAAGAATTAAGCCAAAATTATATTATGTAAGGCTGGATATTTTGCACATAGATGACAGAAAGCCGAATCTTTTGAACCCTTATTTGCCAAATCCCTAATCTAACGTAATATTATTTTGGCTAGAATTAATCGGGACAATCTTAAGAATCAACTCAAGTCAGCCTGTTTCCTAAACCATTTGATGAAGGAGAGGGATGATACACAGTAGATCGGACTACCGTGTGATTCCGTTAATATGAAATGCATTTTAATAAATTTTAGCAAGTCGACTAACGTCACGTCAGATAACATTTTTTTTTAAAAACCTAGTATCTTTTATCCTGCTTATTAAGATTAGATGGGTAATATGTTTTTGAATAAAAATCACTGATTTTTTAAATATGTTATTATATGGCTAAAAAGCTATAACATAAGAAAATTACTCAAAATGGATAATTACTTAACCATAATTTATTTAAAATCATCAATCGTTTTTTTAAATATCTATATTATATAATGCTCGTAACTTTACATTATTTCTCTAAGGTTTCTTTACTAATGCATTTTATATGTTTTTCATATATTTTACAATTTATTTAAAGGAAACATATATCTATTATTTTTTTTTTACATCAGACAGCCGTAAATAACCAGAACAACGTGTCTATGATAAAAGGATCGCTTGCCATACCTGTTTAATTTGAAGGCGATTTATATTTTGTAATATATGACTGAGCAAAATATCTAATACATTTAAAATTCACATTTAAATGCATAAGAAAGGAAATTTAGCGTCTCTTACCCTGCGTTCACAGATGCGAATTAGCATTTTGTGTTTTCTTATATTTCGCCGCGAATTCGTGTATTTGACTGCCCCTCCCTCTCTCCCATTCGCACGGGCATATCTTTAATATAAATGCATTTTTTTTTCATATTAGATGTAAATTTAAAATCTGTGTCCATAAAATAAGGATAAAGTAAAGATTCCTCATCATACTCATTTATGGAGAGTATTAAGGTTTATAACTCCTGGGGTTTGCGCCTATGGGAACGCACGTGACCTCCGATATTCCCGATCTGGCTCATACTGTTTCCATGTGCAGGGTCGGATAAGCAATCTTCTTTCTTATTTACTGCAATACAATGTCGATCATAATTTCGCACAACTTTTACGTTTTGGAAACATTACTAGTAGTTTGAAAAAAAAAATAAATTACATTGCATCTTATATTGCCTGTGATCATATTATCATACGAAACTTTAATATTCTTTTTCGGGATAACCTATTATAGCGTGTACGCTATTTAATATTAAGGTAATGTCGTGCTTTTTGCTATTTACCAACGACTCTGTGGGCAATGCCAAATTTTAAATTTAACCTATAAAACGAGAAGAAAAAAAATTAATACTATTGCTGTGAAGTAACGACAAAAAAGTAACGTCGTTACTTTTTTTGAAGAAAAGAAACACCTTTCGTTACCCTCATCTAAAGGTAACGAGTAACGGTAACGCGTTTTTTTTTTTAGGTAACGGTAACGCAAAACGTTACTTTACTCGTTACTTTATATTTTTTCTTAAAAAATATCAATAAAAAGAAAAACGTATTTTATTGTTTTATAAATTACTTTTATTTATTTTTTAATTCTTAATATTAATAATTTAAGCCGAGTTTTAATTAATATTAACCATATTAAACATTTTTTTTTAAATTCTAGTTGTTAAATTATCAGTTGAAATTAATATTCAATCAAAATTCAAAGTAATTATAATATTATTATTTAATTTATAATTTATTTTAAAAGAATATTATGTCCATATTATACTTACTTCTTCAGATGAAGAAGATTTAACCCTTCCCTGGCCCCAATTTGAATTATATTTTAAACCAATTAAGAAAATTAATGGTACCAAGTCTACACTTTGTAAATGTAAATTATGTCCCAACGCAAATATTTCAACGTCAATGTCAAGTAGCTCAAACTTAAAAAAAACATTTGAAGGTAAAGAAAGAATTAATATATAATTATTTTAAACATATAAAAACTTAATCATGAAATGATTTAAAAAAAATTTATTTAAATTTCATTGTAGATCTTATCAATAAAATACTATATATATATAGCATCTTATTATTTAACCATGTATTCGATAGCTACGGCTCTTTATAATTTTAGAGAGCGAAGAAAATATGCATTTGGGATAACTCACTCCCACTATAACCATTATAATATCAAAACTTAAAAAATTGGCTTTGAATAATTTTTAGTTTTGTAAGCCGCTAATTGATTCAATCCTGGAATCCGTAGATAAAAGGTATACAGTTCAAATATTGTTTATAATTTATATTTTGACTATCATATTTTCAATAGATTCAAACACATTTATGATGATGAATATATACTATCGGCAATAATTCACCCACTATTTAAATTGGATTGGCCCTGGATAAAATTAGAGGTCAATAAAAGAAGAATGCTGGAACTTATTGATGAGGAAATGAATGAAGGTCTCTGTATAGATGATCTTTCAAGCTTTTTTCAAAATTAAGATATTTCCTTAAATATTTTTTATAAATTCCCCGAATTGAAATTTTTTTTTATTAAATATAACACCACTTTTCCATCCTCTGCACCAATTGAACGTGTGTTTAGCACGGCGAAAGCTGTGTTGAGTACTAAGCGCTCACATTTATCTGATCAAAATTTTGAAAATCAATTGTTGTTAAAAATAAATAAAAAATTGTTACATAAAGATGTTATCTTATAATATAATATTTTTGTATAATTTTATTCATATTATAATTATATATGAAAATTTTATTATAAAAAGATCTTATCTTATATGTTCTTTTTGTATAGTTTTATTTTATTATATATTGTCGGTGCTCTATATATAACATTTAATTTTTTTAAGTAACGAGTAGCCCGTTACTTTTTTGAAAAGTAGGTAACGCGCTTTTCTTTTGTAAAATGGTAACGAGTAACGGTAACGCGTTTTTTTGTAGTAACGTTTACAGCACTAATTAATACATTAAAATGTAAAGATTATTCTTCACTATAGATACAGATAAAATAGATATTCTTTGCACAAATAGAATATGCCTATCCAAAACAATTAGTTCATTATACCAGATATTCGCACTTTTTACTGAATGACAATAATATGTCCCTAAAATTTTATCGTCTCCCTCTCCAAAAAAATGGTCTTTTCCTACTCCTAAATACTTTTAACAAAAATATGAAATAGTAACCATCAAAATTAACTTAAGAAAACCATATCACTTAACCTCCTTCCAATATTTCCTCCTCACTTATTTTATATTCCAACGAAGATCTTTCTCTCCCCACCCCCAGTAGAAGTGCCTATCATTACATAATGGGTTTTGACTTATAAGCTATTCCTCTGCGTTTTAAGTAACTAGGAATAAGGTCATCCAAAATGGTTTCATCTCTATGACGATTATTACAAATATTATCGGTAAAAATATTTGGATTGGATATCCTTAACAGGTAGAAATCCTACTTAAAATATTTAGCAGTCTATTTGCCATTTTAGCACTTGTCTTATAGCCCCAGGGGTAGTAAGTTAGCCCGAAATGACATATGTAATTACTCTAGATAAACTCCATGATTAAGTTTATTTGATACCCTAGAAATTAAGGAAAAAATAATGGCGAAAAGGGGATAAAAAATTGTTTTTGATCCGTATCTTTTATATGAGGCTGCTCTCACTACTTAATGAACATATGGTAGAGTGTATGTATAAAAATACAACTTTAGGTTAAATTTAAAACAATTAGCCCGAAAGATAAAATAAAATAAGTTAATGACGTTTGCCTTTTAACCCCACCTGCCGTATACCCCGATCTCCACCATACGCTAAGTCGTCGGAGCATTAAAATTGGGCTAATCGTTTAGGATAAAATTATCAAAATTTAATGTATCGTTTGCGAAAATGCATTTTTCCTTCACACAGATTCGTGTAATTTAAATGTTTTACACACACATGTACAATACGATTTTTTAAATTTTTTTTTAAATTTTAATAGATTTTTTTTAAAAATATTTTATATATATAAGAACTATTCCATATCAGCCATTATTTTGGTTTTATACCAGGATGGAACCTTTTTCCAATTTAACCATAATGGCGGCTCCCCCTTAGTCCCTTTGGCGAATGTTCGAGCCCTTTCCCTGACGAACGTATGATACCATTTAGGAGATTTCGTCAAATAATCCTTTAGAAAATGTGGATTCGGCTCTTCGTCTTCATCCTTCGGCCGGGATTTATCGCGCAAGAAATTTTTTAAGATGGTGCAAGGATTATAGTCGAAAGGATCCCTTTGT